TGGATGGGGCAAGAGCCATTCAGAGAGATCAGATACAGGCTGAGATTTTCACTTTTAGATCAGGAAAAATCACGGGTTTGAAGGAAAATCATGGGTTTGAAGGCACCTTAAAGACCACCTAAAATCCCAACCCCTGCAGCCCTGCAGATCCCACTGGATACCCCTGGACTTTCTCTCCATTCCTGATGTTGGAGGAAGCCAAGGGGAGTTTTGCTGCCCCTTTGCAGTATCAGAGTAGCACAGGGGGGACTCTCCGTGGCTCAGAGAGTCATCCTTTGGCTCTCTGCAGAGGTTTGTGCCGCGGCACTGCTGTTTTCCCCTTGTAAATGATGTGTTTTCTGCAGGGCAGAGCCCGCGATAAGCACACGCTCCCAGCTCCCGTTGAGGACTCGCTTCTCACCCGGCACTTCCAGAGGTGCTGGCAGTGAGATAAGAGCAAATCTGACATCAGGGCCAGGAAGTGCTAAAGAAAGTCCCTTTCTTCATCCATCAGTGGGGTTATCTCCCCCAGCACAGCTCCAGCATTCCTTGCATGCTCCAGGACACATTTCAAGCCCAGGGCTCTGGCCACGCTGGGCTCGTGGCCATGTGCCCAAGCAGCCTGTGTGCCACTGTGTGCTCCCCTCACAGCCCCAGCCCCTCTCCTCGAGGTCCTTTCCAAAATGCTGGGAGCTGCTGGATGTTCCTGCCCTTCCAGGAAAAATCATCCTCCTCATTTCTTTCCTTTTTTTTTTTTTTTTTTGTTTTTTATTTTTTTTTTTTTTTTGTGTTTTATGGCATTGTTTACAAGTCTCTCAGAGAATCCCAGGTGGAAGGAGCAGGGGCTGCTTTGATTCTCCTCCTGACCCCACCTGGGATCTCTGCTTGGTTGTTGAGCAGCTGCTGCTGCATTCTCCAGCTTTTTGTCTGTTGCTCAAGAAGGCACCAGAGCCCCCATCCCTGGTGGGATTGATGGGGTATGGATGTGGCATTTGGGGACGTGGCTTCGTGGAGGGCTTGGCAGCTGTGAGTTGATGCTCAGACTCGATCTTAGAGGTCTTTTCCAACCACAGTGGTTGTGTTTTTCCATTAACAGAGCAGTTTTGTGGGTGTCAGGTGCATGTGTGACCTTCAAGCCTTTAGGGCTGGGATGTGTTTGCAGCCCACCCCAGCTGCTGGAGTAGTTGTCTCTTTCTGGTGAATTTGCATTGGAAATGACTCCTGTCTTGTCAGGGCAGGTGCCACAGGTGCCCAGTCATTTGGGGACCACAGGGAGGGGCCTGAAGTGGGGGGTGAGGAGGAATGAGGTCCTAAGTCACCCCCACCCCCCCCAGAGTCCTCCCCCAGACCCAGAGCTGGAGTTTCCAATAGCAGAAACATCCAACCTGCCCTGGGGTGGCTGGGCATGTCCCTGCCGAGCTCCCAGTGTCCCTGGGCAAACTGCAGCCATCCCAAGTGCCAAATTATCCCTTCTTGGACCTCCCCTGAAGGCACCTCCAGTGGCACAAAACCTCGGCAGCACAAGCCTTTGTATGGGCTGTGATCATCTGAGGAGTCTCTAAACTCACAGAATCCAATAAAAGAGATAAAATCAGGAAAACTTTCTTTTAAAACAGAGCATCCAGAAGCTGCTGCCAGCCTTGCTTGAAGCAGATGAATGCTCCCAGGCATTGGGGCTGTTGGCCACCCCGTGTGCAGGAGGGTGGCCAAGGGCTCCCAGGGGGAGTTCAGAGCAGTTTCTTCACTTTATGAGTCTGCAGAGTGGTTAAAAATAAGCAGAGCTCTTGTGAAACTGGCTGAGTGCAGGTGATGGGGCCCTTCTGCTGCCTCTCTAGAGATGGTTCTTTACAAGGGCTGGGGCAGAGCTGACCACACTTTCCTTATCTGTTATCAGGCTTCAAGGTGTTTTGTTCTACCAGACGAGTTTCTTGCTCTGTTTGGCACAATCCCATCCCTGTTCCAGTCACCTCTTCCCTCTGGCTTTCATTTCCCTCTCTGATGGGCTTTGCATTGCTCAGGATGTTCTCACCACCCAAGGATTTGTTCTGGGGCTGTTCCAGAGCCTGGGAATGTTGGTAGCCATGGAATTCTCTGTGCTCTCAGGTCTGTTTCCAGAGCTGAGCACGGTGTCTGTGCCCTTGGGTGGCTCCCAAGGTTGTTTTGGATGCCCAGCAGGGTGGTGGCAGGGCTGGGAATTTGTGTGGTTGGTGCTCCCTTGCACCAGGGGAGATCCCAGGACTCTTTTCAGTGCCAGCCTTGCTTGAAGCAGATAAATGACACCACTGATTTTGGGTCTGACAGGTGCTGAATGAGCCCTGTGGAGAACATTGATTTCTCTCTCTCTTTTTTTCCCCTGTGAAATGTTTGCTTGTCCAGAGGTGTGATTGACTGGTGAATAAAATGGCCTCGGCACAGCCCATGTTCAATTGGAGCTAATTTTAACATGTGGCCGTTGAGTAAAGAGTCTTGAGCCAAGAATTCATCATCTTCCATCAGCAGCGACCTCGAAATGCCAGAACAATACAAAGCACAGGATGACACTCTGCAGACTGGGCACAGAAAAGGTGCCAGGAGTGAATTGTGCCACCAACAGCCACGCTGGGTGTCCCCACCTGGACTTGTGGTGCTCAAAGGGTGAGGGTGAAACCCACCTGCAGTTGTCACCCCCAGTGGTGGCTTTTCCTGTGGGTCTTGCTGTGCAGCCAGCTCCTGGCTGGTGGAGCAGGTTAATTGGTTCCTTGTGTTTGTTGTGTTGTACACCAGGACTTTTTCAGCAGCTCTTTAAATAGATGAGGGGCTTTTTCCTCGATGTTTGTCACCTGCTGGCACTCAGGGCCTGGCTGGTGGTGTGGTGGCTCTTTGCTGATGTCACCCAGAGCTGCAGGAGGGCACTGCCACTGTGGCTCCTGGTTTGCCAGCTGTGGTGAGGTGGTTTCCACATCTGGGTTGGATGAGCAACATCACTTTTGGTTCCTTCACTGGCACAGGTTGCCCAGAGCAGCTGTGGCTGCCCCATCCCTGGAAATGTCCAGGGCCAGGCTGGGTGGGGTTTGGAGCAAACTGGGATAGTGGGGGGATGGAAATGAATAATCCTGAATATCCCTTCCCACCCAAACCATTCTGTGATTCTGCTTTGGTGCTGCCCAGCCTGGGCTGAGCAGGAGCTGGGGAGGGAATGCTGCAGAAGGGCAGGGCAGAGGATCTGCAGGGGAAGTTTGCATCTTGCTGTGTGTAATTGTGGCTGTACCCTGTGCCATTAACTTTCAAAATTGGAGGCTTAAAAGGATTTAAAATAAGCACACGCTGGAACTTTGGAATCAATGGGACTGCAGTGCAGCAGCACACACAGCCTGGGGTGTAAATTCTTGCAGAGACCCAGGAGATAAAGTTATGAAATAACCTGTGTCAGCAAGAGAGAGCCTGTAAAGCAATTCCAAAAAAACAACCAACCAAAAACCTCCCAGTCTAGACACTTAATATTTACTGCAGTGTTTATGTGAGATAGAGGGATGCCCTAGAAAACCAGATTTGTTTTCAATTTCTGCCTCTGGCACGTGCTTGTCTAATGGGAAGGCTTCTGATGTGATGGGACTGTCCTGTGCCACCTCCCGTGCTGGGAGAGCTCTGCTGTCACTTGCTGGAGAAGGGTAAGAGGTAATTTTTTTTTGCTTTGTGGAGGTGAATCAGCCTGCTGTTAATGAGGTGGTTTTGCTAATCCACGGCTGGAGAACCTCGTGTCTAATCCCCAAAGCAGCACTAACGAGGCCGTGGAGATACCACAGCCCCAAAGACTCTGCTTTGATTCTTTTAATTAAAAGAAAATTAAGCTATTTTCTTTTGCTTTGAACCCTGGGTGAAGTTTGCAAGGGATGTCTTTAGGTGGTGTGTGTTTGATGACAGCCCGGGGAGCTGAGATTGTGCCATGTGACAAAAGCTGGCTGAGGGAATCCACCCAAAGGCAGCTTGGCTCCTCTGCCTGTTGATCACATGGGGGTGATTCACCCCCTCAATGGATTGATTTCCTCAGCATTCTAACATGCTTGTTAGGTATTTGTAAGGAATTAGCTGGAAAAAGTGAAGAGTTGCCTAGGGACACAGTGATAAATTGAAAGTATTTTGCAGTGAGGATGCAGAAAGAAGGGAAGTTCACTGGCTGGCTCGGCAGATGAAGGATGTAGGTGATGCAGCTGCAAAAATGAAGCAGATTTTTGTATTTCTCTTCTTTATCCCCTGTGCTGGCAGGAGCAAGACCCTCTGCAGTCCTCAGGCTTCAGAATCCCTGATGATTGTGGATAAACAACCTTTTTATTGCTATAGTATTTTTTTAAAGAGGAACTCGATGTTGCTCTGCCAGTCAACCTTGCTGGATGACCAAAGGTTTGGGTTGGAAGGGATGTTGTAAATCACCCAGCCTCAGCCCCGGGCAGGGACACCTTCCTCTATCCCAGGCTGCTCCCAGCCCTGTCCAGCCTGACCTTGGGCACTGCCAGAGATCCAGGGGCAGCCACAGCTTCTCTGGGCAGGGCCTCCCCACCCTCACAGGGAAGAATTCCTTCCCAATATCCCATCTAACCCTTCCCTCTGCCAGTTTAAATCCATTCCCCCTTTATCCTGTTGCTGTAAAGTGTGTCCCTTCTGTAGGGAACCAAATGGGATCATGCTGGAAATGGTTAAATGCTCCACACTGGGCTTCTGTGGAACATCAGCTCTAATTTATATTTGCCTTCGACCTTGAAAGGGAAACTGGCTTGAGTTTTGCAGCCCTTCTCAACGTTACCTTGGGAGAAACTTGTTTTTCAAAGGGGCGTTGTGTTCCTGGTGTGCAGCTGAGAACACAGGAGCCCTCGCAGGGCACCCTGAGTCTGACATCCCCAAAAACAACAAACAAACTCCTGCCTGCCTTTGCACTGAGAGTTTCTCAGTCCCTGCTCACTTGTCTGGTGTTTAACTCAGTAAATCTCAGCTGGAATTTCTGTCTCGCTCACTTTCCCCCAATCCTTTTCTCCTTTTTCTCCCCCCAGTTTCTGTGTTTGAAGAACATCCGGACCTTCCTGAAGGTGTGCCACGACAAATTCGGGTTAAGGAACAGCGACCTCTTCGATCCCTTTGACCTCTTCGACGTGCGGGATTTCGGGAAGGTAAGAGTTAATCCCGGGAAGGGATGAGTGGGGCTCTTCCCTGGCTTTGTGCTCCAGGTTTGGGATGAAAATGCAAAGGTTTTTGTGGTTTTCTGAGCAGCCTCTGAGAACTGGGCACCAGTTCCCTGTGCTTGTGGTGTATTTAGGATTCTGCTGCGTCCTCGGTGTATTTGGGGGTGTTTTAGTGTATTTAGAGGGTGTTTTAGTGTATTTGGGGGTGATTCCGATTCTGTTGAAGGGAGACCAAACCTTCAAGTTTTCTGCTTTAGGTTAAAAACTCTCTGGGCTCAGTCTCTGAAGGACATGACCCATGTGTTTTGGAAACTTTGCACAGGGTTCACACCTTGCTCGGTCCTTCCCATCTCTGCAGAGCAAAATAACTCTGCTGAAATCACCTCTGAGTTTTGTCATGTGGCCAGTGAGTGTCTGTGGGGTCGGGGAGTTTCATGGCAGGGTGAAATGAGTGCCCTGAGCTTCTCAGAAATGTGTTGCTGTAAGTGATGGCTGGCACCAAAAACCGAACTCTGCCTGCTTTTGCCAAGTGGCTCTTGTTCTGATCCCCTGCCTTTGACACCAACTGCATCAGGGCTGATGGATACAGGGCTCAGGGAAGCCATTACCCAGGACAATTGCTATATTCTTCAGCAGAAAAGGTAATAAAAGATTTATTAAAGCTCTGTATTGTTTTACCTGTTTCGAGCTGCCAGACACAAGCTGCTGGAAGGCATCTTGCCTTCTGATTATCCAAGGAGTAGATTTTCACTGCTGATGGGGATATATTATTTGATATTTATTGCCTAATTTATTTCTGGACCATTATGTGGAATGTGCAATTGCAGTGCCTTGTTTTATGAGTTTTTTTTTTTGATTTATGGAATACAAGAAGGCAGTTGTTGTTCTGGGAATATGAATGCACAGAAGGAACCTTTTGGGCTGGGGAAGGAACTGCTGCTAATTAAAATGCTGCTTTATCGTCACGTTGTCTCTTGCTTTGTGCAGTTTCAGATTGCCTCTGATGCCTGTTAATGGGGCCTGGTGTTAAACATCAGCTGATGAGCACGGTTTGCTTTCCCTTCCCTTCCCTCCCCTCGTTTAATTTTTGGGGGTGCATTCAGCTTTGTGACTTGGGGAGGTGATTTGCCACTCCCTCTTTCCTCAGGGCAATCTGGTTTTTTAGGAGACTTGGGAAAGAACTGTGTTATAAACTTCCAAGAGATACAAATGTATTTTATTGCCTGCATGGTGCTTTTCATGTTGTCGTCATCCTCAACCAACCATAGAAAATGTGGGAAGCACAGACTCTCTGTACAAAAACCTAATTTAATTTTTTTTTTTTTTATCAGCTTGGTGGAGGTATCAGCTGTGCAGTTCTGCACCACCCTAAATCCCTCTGGAAGCCTGTCAAAACATTCCCATTGTCTTCACCACCTTTCATTCCCACATTATCCTCAGATCTGTGTTCAACAGTGGCAAAGCAAATAAACAGGGAAAAATCTGTGTTGACCAGAGCTCCTTTTCCGTTTTGAGTCACAGCAAGAGCAAAAGGAGTCTCTAATCCACGTCCCCACTGGCCAAACACAGACTTCACACACAAAAAATTCTTCCTGGAGCTATTCACTCCTCAGCTCGATGGTATTTTTTTTGGTTACAAGACACTGACACCGTGTAGGAGGGGTTTCTGATGGAACACAGCTTTTAATTGCAGGGGGGGTTTTGGTGGAGTGGTGTTGGGTGTTTCCTTTCTGGATGTCACTGGCAGAGTTATTCCTCTTCTCCAAACCAAAAGGCCACTGGGACAGCAATTACCAGCAGCTTTTGGGATTGCTGGAGTGTAATTACCCAGGAGAAAGGCAGGGACTTGATGCCAACCTCTGCATAAAGGGCTTTGAGTCTTCGGGGCTTTTTTAGTGTTAGAAAACCACTGATGATTTAAAAAAATATTGGAGAAAAAAAATAAAAAAAATCAGATCCTTCAGTCTTGCCCTGCCCAGCTGTTATTCTGAGAGAGGTTTCCATGTTTCCAGCCCTCCTTTTGGCTCCTGAGCCAGGGCTTCTGCACTGGAGCTGCCTTGGGAAGGATGGATCCCCTTCCAGCTCTGCCTGGGAGCTCCTCAAGTCCACGTTTACATCCTGGTTTTGCTTCTTCCTTGAGTCTGAAGCTTGGGAAGGTGCTTCTGGCTGTCAGACAGCTGGTGAGATGGGATTGTGAACCTTGTGGGATTCTCCAGCCCAAATCCCAGAGGAGCTGCAAACTCCATCTCCATCTCCATGGGATGCTGGGGAAGGGCACACTCAGGTCCTGCCACATGGATGCATCCCATTCCCTGTGACCTGCAGCCCAGAGGCCACTTCCCATTGCTCATGGCCAGCTGAATTGCTCACAGCCAGCTCATTCTTGCCCATGTCCAGTTACTAAGCAATCCTGCTGTGCTGTGTTTCATGACTGAGGTTTGCAGAGATGCTGGTGCCTGTATTCCTGCCCATTCCCCTTCAAAAAAAATGTAGTTATATGAATTATTTTTAAATATTTGATCCCTTTAAAGTGGCTCAGAGCTCTCCATAAATCACCAGTGGCATCTGCAGAAGTGTTTTCTCTGTGGTTGCAGGAGTAAAATCCCAGTTAATATTGCCTCATCCCTAACTAGGGTCTGATTCTGCAGGCTTGCTGTGCCCTGGCTCTGTTAGTACAGCCAGGCTCTTAAAAAAGAAATAAAATAAAAAGCTTGTGCTCATGTAGTGTGTGTTGTTACACATTTAGTAGCAGTGATGGTATAAAATCAAACTCTTATTGGACTTGCTAATTTACTGGCACCGACTGTAATGACATAAAATGTACATAAATATGGATTAAACTCTTTATTACTCTATTAGTCAGCATGATGGTAGCCAGGTTCATTAAAAGGAGTTACTCATTTTAAATAACTTGCAGTAATGTACAATTTTTTTTAAGAAATATAGTTCAAATATTCATAAACCTGTGGAGCGTGCCATTTATTAGCCTCCCACTCCTGTCTGCCCTCCTGACGTGGATTTAATCATCCTGAATTCCTCCTGAAGTTCTTGCTCTTGTTTGAAAAAGGCAAGATGAGGGTCTTCCCTCCCCTGCCCCACAGAAATGAAATGCTGCTGTTCTAAAAATGAAAAAGGGAAGCGATTCACAGGCTGGCTGAAAGAGGAGGAGATGCTGGTACTGAGATTAAAGTCGTGTTTTCCACCCTCCTTCTGGTCTAGAGCTTGGGGAAGCAGAGCTGCACCCACCTTGCAGCTGGAGCAGGGTCTGGATCAATTCTTCCTCTCAGCTGAGATTATTTGGTGGCTGGGGCAGGGTTCAAATGAGGCTTTTCTTGTGTGCCAGGGAGAGGATGTGGGTGTTGGGGAGGTGGCCCCGAGGCTGGCACACTGCAGTGGCTGTGCCAAGAGCTGCCTTGGGGGTGGGAGTGAAGTCACAGTGCAAGCAAAGGGTGTCCTTCATCAATTTGGAGAAATTGCACTGATATTCAGGGTGCTTTTTAGTGTAAAGGTGTCCCCTTCCTCCTACTGATGGGCTGGAAACCTCTGCAGGGATTCAGGCTGGTCTCACTGGATGCTCTTTGTCCCCAGCACCGTGGCTGGAGAATTTTCCAAGTGAAGGATTCCCCCTTTTCCAGACTTTTGGATGGGTTTGGGGCAGCTCTGGAGGGGCTCAGCTGTCACAGTCCCCCCCCCATCCCTTTCTGTCCCACCCCACCCTGCTGCCAGGGAGTCAGAAAACTCAATTTTCTGCTTGCTTTCAGACAGGAGGGTGGGGAGCGTTGTCAGAATTATTTAAGGGATTCATAACTGAGAGTTGGTGGTTTCTGTTTCTCTGCTGAGAATTCCCCTCCCTCCAGCATCTCTAATGCTGTGTAGGAACCACCAGCCCTGCAGCAGGATTTTTAAGGGTGCCTTTTTAACACAGAGAAAAGGAGTGATATATATGAATTAATATAGAAAGGTGGAAACTGCACAGATTCTGGATATACAGCAGCAAACCCAGTGCCAGCTGTGACCTGCTGGTGCTGGGAGCAGCAGCTCCTCTTCTCTCATTTTGACTTTCAGGGGTTTTTTTCTGACCTCCTGGAGCCAAGAACATATTAAAAGCAGTGTGTTTTCTCTCTGCACCACGGAGTGCATGAAGCAATAATGTCTGGGAGCAGAGAGCAGCCAAGCTGGGTGTCCCATCCTGGCCCTGCCTTTTATTTTTACAAATCCCTGGAGGTCCAGGCAGCTGGATGGGGCTTCCCATGTTGTGACCCACTATGCCAGCTCCTCTGTGGCATTGGCCGTGTGCCCAGGGGCATCTTTTGGCAGCTGGGAGCATCTTGGATCACTGTGTCACCACGGCGGGTGGGGAGGGAAGGGAGGAGAATTCTCCAAAAGAAGGGTGTGTGTGTGCTTTATATATATTTTATTTTTTAAAAAAAATCCCAAGGGAGCTGTAGAGTAACCGGCCTGCCAGGAGATTTTTGTGTCATTGCATGGAAGAAACCCCACTTAACTCCTTGCCTGCCCTGTGGCTGTTGGTGCTTTGTCCCCACCAGAGAAGGAGCCACACGTTCACCCTGTGCCCACACCGGGGTTTTCCCCAGAGCCTTTAGGACTGCAGGGAGAATCCCCAGCTCTGGGGAGTGTAGGAGAACATGGGGAAGGCAGCCCTGGATGCCTGTGCAGGGCTGTGACTCCAAAAGTTGCTGATTAACTCCCCACTGCAGGAGATGTTTGGCCACCGGTGTTTTAATGACCTTGCTGGATTTGTTCTGGAGATTTGGACATTGGGGTGAAAGCTCCAAATGGCAAAAGCAGACTGGAGCAGCAAGGCTTGGCTTTGTTCTTCCTTCCCTTTGCCAGCCTGAGGGTTCATTTGGGCTTGGGAGCCCTGGGTTTGGAATTGAGGTGCTGTGGGGTCACCCTGCTGCTCCTGCTCACCCTGGGGACACTGGTGGGGCTGTGCTGGCAGGTGCCCAGCAAGTCATGCTCAACTT